TTCCATGCTCTTTTGCATAACTGATTACATTCAGTTTGAATTTTGCAGAGTAAGACATTCGTTTATTTATTTTTTTATTTTCCAACATATTTATGGGCTCAGAATGCTCTGACATTACCGGTCCCTGTTGCATCTGTGCACTGCCTACACGCTCTCCACCTCCAATGGGATGTGTTCCAGTTAGTTTGTTCAGCATCAGCTGACGTCAGTTACATAAGGCTCGTGACTGGAGGAAGCCTGTTTGCAGAGACAAAATATGGGCAGTTTCGCAACCGCGCGGTTCTCTCCTCGGGTTACTTCCTTGCATAAGACAACCTTCAATTTTTAGTGTAATGATTTTAGAAAAAAGTATTGTCTTATACACGGAAAAATACGGTACTGTTTTCTCAGATTGTATATCAAATGACCCTGAAGCAAACCTCAAAATGGGGCATTTCAAATTTAAAACATGGTATAACACATGAGGCCCTTTAAAGTGATTAATGCTGCTAACCAGAAGTGCTCTTCTTCTTACATGCTTCAGAGGCTGGACTGTTCAAATAATTTCATGCTTAATTGTGGGGGGGTCCCTTACAGTTCTAGTCTTGCCAACTTCAAGAAACCAGGCATTCAGAGGTCCTGCTCTCTGACAGTTTTGTCAAGCTAGCAGCTTACCCAAATGCTTGTTTGTCTGGCAGTTTATCTGATCTTGACAAAAAAACTTCTGTCTTACATGTCCTATATGCCCCAGTGGTCACAAAAACAGGGATAGCTACCAAAGTAGTTTATGCAGGACTTCCATTTCTCTGTGGAAAAGTCTGAAGTCCTAATTGTATATTATTATTATTGTTGTTGTTGTTGTTGTTATACCACTTGAACACCATTGCCATTGATAAAATCACAATCAGCCAATTGTAAAAGGAAGCTTTACTTGGAACAGCTTACATCCTGCGATGATACCTTTAACACCATCAAACAACATCTGCCTATCCCAGATCCTTGGGAAGGACTCGATAGGTGGATAAAAATGCCAGATTCACTCTAAACATCTGGCTTACTATGCAACCAACCATAATAATAGGATTCATGTATTCTGAACTGATTAAATCTCAGATCCTTCATGGAAAGGTAGTGGAATTATATTGTACAGAAAATGATGCTTTTGTTTGCTCTGTAAAAACAATTGCCTGGGAATCATATTTGCATCCTAGGAGATTGGCATATTATCATGAAAAAACAGCAAGTACGTATTTATTTAGATATGAATTTCACTGAATGTATTTGGTTCTTTTACTTTCAGGTGTTTCATAGAGTTTCAAAGGTAATTGTAGTCCCCAGTTGTTCAGAGTACAGAAAGAATATGTTTTGTGTAACTTGCAATGCTATCTTATTCACCTGTGTTTCACAAGTTTAATTGCAGTTACAGCAAGGATTTGTTTGAATATTTGTCACCTTTTAAAACAAACTTTCCTCAAGAACACACAAATTGTTCATTATGGCTCCATAAAACCTAATAGTTTATTGTGTAATACTTCCTACAAAACTTTAAACTGTGTGATTTACATTTGAATGAATTAGGTTATAATATGAAAATGTGTCCAATTTAAACACTGCCTTCCTACTCTAGTGAGTATATTCTTTCTACTGTGATAGTGCTTCTGCAGTAGTGTTATAAGCAATCATACCATTTATGCCATTTACAGAAAGATCCCACGCTGGCTAAACAACTCTTCAGCAGCTTGTTTAGTGGAATTCTGGAAGAAATGAAAAAATCCAGGTCTTTGTCTGAGAGAAATAATATCATCCAGCAGTTGCTGCATGTCTTCAATCAGTTTTTATCCACAACCGTGTTGTATTTCCCACCATTTATAGCTTGCATCCTGGTATGGCATTCAATACTGTATTTGTGTATTCATTTTTTACTTTTGTTTCTTTATGCTTTTGGGCAGTATGAATGAAGACAGGTAAAAATGAACATGGCTCATACTACCAGCAACAAAGCCTAGCCAGTATTCTTGAGAAACAGGCAGTGTTGTAGCAGTCTTAATTTAGTAGATGCATTCTAGCCATTGGTTCAGATGCAGAGCTAAATACTGTAAACGTCAAACCTAATTCTTCAAGGTGAGTGCCAGGAAACTAGGGAGGCACAAGACGTAAGTAAAGTATTTTAGATCTGCTTTTGAAAACATCAGGAAAGGATCAAACATTTTCTTATATTTAATGTTGGTGGCTGCAACTCAATTAATATTACTCCATTCTCAGAATGCAATCCATTTCATTAATTGTGTATTTGATATAATAGGAAATGACCTATCAGCACAAAGAGTTGCTGGGCCTCACCTCTTCCAGTGTAAGTACTAGCTGTTTAGCAAGTTTACAGCAACCGGTAGGCATCCTGCTTCTTGAACAAGCTTTAGTTCACCTTTCTCCTGTGGAGCAGCAGCCACCCTCCAAGAGAATGCGTGGAAAGACAGAACTTTCACCGGATGTGACCAGGTGGATTGAACTTGCTAAGTAAGTTTTCCTTGAGAAAGAAAATTTTTGCAGATTTTACCTTAAGTGGGACAAAAGTTTTAGGGCCGTATAAAAGTTAATACTTAAATTAATGTAATTGATATAACGGTGATTAATTTGTTTGCATATTGTCAGAGTGTTCAGCTGTCTTCCAGAGTTACATTTCTGTATATTTTCTTTTAATTAAATGATGAGGAATCTTTATACAGCCAGCCATTATGATAAAGCACATGTTAAGTTATCCAGTACTGAATCAGAAGTGGCACCACTTTGCAGTAAGGCTTCTAATTCAAAAACAGACTTTGAAATACAGTAGAAAATATTAAGGCTTTTTCTGACTACTACAAAGAAAATTGAAAAAACATGGAGAGTCCACACCAAAGATATGACTAAGAACTTTAAAATGTTATTTGACACCATACTTGATTTACTATTTGTCCCTCTAATCATTGAACTCAAGGTCAGAAATTCATGGGCATCAGAGGCAGTAGGCAAGGCAGTCAGTTCAAACATGGCTGTATCCATCATGTGATTTGGCTCAAAGGATTCAGTGGCCCCTTCACAATGGTATGAAGCTTTATTTGGGCATACCAGGCAACACACTTATTCAGGTTGAAGAAATATTTGACTTAGCTACAAACTATTAAAACAGATTTGACAGCCAGACAGATCCTGGCCTGATTTTGGTGCCCTGGGTACCTAATTTTAGGATAGTTAATGAAAGAGGGGTTGCTAACTTTTGGTCTTGATTCAAAATGAGATAAAATGAAAAGATCAGTAGTTTAATTCTCTTGAATAAAAGTAAGATCCCAGTGAGCCTACTGGCTACTTGAGTTAGAACTGACTGACAGAGAATCACAAAATCCATGCATTTAAGAAATGATAAAGGGAAGGTTTCTGAAGTAGAACAAAACTGAAAATATCATGTGGGGTGCTCAGGTGGTACTTTAATCAGCTGGTCTGTCATGTGATTTGGGATTTGGTTGTATTTCTTATAGACTGGCCACTATGAAGATACATAATTAGGCTGAAGTTATGACTTGGAAGACAGGGACAGATTTGCATGTATCTAGTGGGGGAGAGCTAGCTATCACCTGGCTTTGATCTTGGGAACCATCAAGCGTCTCTTTTTTGCTGCTTTTCTCAAAGCAAAAAGGATTTGTTAGCCAAGGTATCAAACTGATGATGGTATCAACTGTATGAATACAGAAAGCTATCCTGGTTGAGTTTCTTTGTATCCTGAGCTATGTAATTTGTCCTTGATTTATCTGTGTCTTTGGAAAATAAACCTCATTTATTTGAGGAATGAATCATTTTGGTAATTTAAAGCTTTTTTCCTTCCAAATGTTCTAGGCTTTATCGATCTGTTGGAGATTATGATGTTCTGTGGGGTATTTTTAGTGGAAAGATTGGCACGAAGGAAATTACTCAGAAGGCTTTGTTGGCTGAAGCAAAAAGCGATTATGCTGAGGCAGCTAAACAGTACAATGAGGTACAATTATGTTTATAAAGTGCAGCATTTTCAAGTATTTAAAGGGGAAAAAACATTGACTATCACTTAAGAATGTAAACACAACCCCCCAGAATCAAAGTATGATTGGATAACTGGTGCCTGAGGAAAAACAAGGAGCCTGAATTGTGCATAAGCATATTTAAATTTTATTATTTAATTATTAAATGCAATTCTGTAGTTACTAGTATGCTGAAAAAGATGGGATGATTGGAAGACTAACTCTTGAGGTGAGGTTGAATCAAAAGTAATTATTACTGAAATAATTCAAGTGTAGAAAGGAATCCAGTGGCATCCAATGAAGCTCCTTTAGCAGAACAACAGGAACTCTGCAGCAGCCCCTGCCCTTTGGAACACCCTTCCCTCAGAAGTGAGGTTGGCCCCCTCCCTCTTAGACTTCAGGAAAAAACTGAAGACCTGGTTTTGTTAATATGTGTGGGGTGGGGATGGGAATAGTCAGTTTTGGGGATGGCTGGTTCCCTCGTCCTACCTGACCAATATTAGCTGGTCACAGGCTGCAACAATACCACCATCGCTTGGATTTTATCATATTGAATCATTGTATTTTATGCTGTATTATTTATGTTTTTATTGGTTTTAAATTGTTTGGTTGTGAACCTCCCAGAGTCCCCCCTTGTGGGGGAGTTGGGCGGTGATATAAATTTGATAAATAAACAAACAAACAAAGTAAAGACTGAAATGCTCAGTGATGAATGCTCTTTCCCACTTTTTGCTCAGATGCCACTGTCGTCATTCCTGAGCCAAGATAAATTAACAACAGTGATTCATTTATTGGTAGCTTCATGTCTTAAATATTCCAATGCATTCTATGTAGGCTGGCAAAATGCACCGGTTAGGCTGTTCTTTGCACCTAATTAGTGCTGTGTAATACTATTGAAAGAACTATTCCAGCAGTTGATTTGCTATTAGACAAAACTAGATTTTGGTGTTAACCTAAAAACATGAAGACAAATATCTGTACGTGTGCCTTCCATCCTGCACCTTTTTCCAATTTAGGTCCATATAGAAGCTATTTTTATTACCGTGGCGCATGATGGTACTGCTCCACTGTTCGTAACCACTGGGTTATATATTTTAACATACCTTAAATATTTTATTGCAGTGTATTCTATTCTAATTTTAGATTATATAAAATGCATTTTAATGCTATGAACTGTTTGGAGATTAATAGCATGTCAAGCTAACAGAAACAGATAAGCAACTATTACAGGCATTTACTTAATGCCAAAGAAAAAGCAGCACCAAGAAGGATGCATATGTACAGCTTTTCCTTGCTGCCTAAGTCTGGGTCAGTATGTGCTGGGGAGCCAACAAGAGCATGTTTTGGCTCATCTATAGGCCAAGCACTAAAAAACTACATTTCCTACCTTTTGGGAAGATCACTGGGGCAGCCAAGTTCTATATGTTATTTGCAGGCCAGATTTAAAAACTGGGCTGCTACTGACAGTTGCCTTGTGTTTGGAGAACTACAGAAACAGGGATGGTGAGCCTAAACTGCTTAACTGCCTGTTTATGGCTTGCTATTTCATTCAGGCCTTAAATAACTAATTGTTTCCTTCTCCCCAATATTTTCCTTCTGTTTGTGTCTCCTGCCTCTCTTTCCAAACTGTTAAGAGCCAGTTCGGGAGAGTAAAAGTCTGACAAAAGAAAAAGTAAAAAAATAATTTAGTGAAATGCTATAATTTGTGATAATTTCTGAGTAAGTGGAATTACAGTCCACTTAGTCCAGTCAATAATGAAAATATACTGCCTTGTTTTGCAGTAAAAACCAAGAGGAAAATACTATGTAGAATGGTCTATATTTTAAATAGAAGGAGTGTTGCAGCACATGAACATTAGTTTCGTTGAACACAGTTTTAGAAGATCCTTTTTTTTTTAGTCCTTATGCTATGAACTCATAGTTCTCTTATAGTGACTCATCAGCAGAGCACAGGCACTGAATGCAGGAGTCTCTGGTACTTTTAGGTAGAGCTAGGAAAGGCTTCTCTCTAAAGACTGGGGGGTCACTGTCACTGAATGTAAATGTTGATCTATATGGACCAATGGTAAGGCATCTTCCCACGTCCCTAACTGATGGCATGCATGTATGTGAGCCTATTCTATTTTGTAGAAATATTTTAGTTTGGTGAGAAAAAATAACTCTGAATTCCATAAATATATTCATACAAATCCATTAGCCTGTAAGTGATGAATGCAGGCTGTAGTTCAAAAATTAACGGATTGGCCAGGAGAAAAACTAAAATTATTTCATTCCATTTACATTAAAACAGGTCATATATTTAATTATTTTTACATTAAAAATTAGAATTTTGAAACAACTTTTGAAAGTCTCTGGGGACTTCATTGAAGGCTTTCTGGGGCTGCCTGCCTTGCTCTGGGTTAATCACTAACCCACATTGCCTGTCCCTGGATTAATTGGAAGTATCATATAGGAAGTTTGTTTTTAGCATATTTTAATTAATAAATTAATATTTATCTATTTTAATTAATGTTTAAAAACAGAGTAAACATTCTATAAATGGTAAACCATCCAGATTCACTCCGCAGTGAGATGGGCAGTGACAAATCCAGAATATATATAGATATACAGATATATAGATATAAATAAATAAATGCTGAGCTGTAACTGACCTTGCTTCGGTAGGCACTCTCTCTACAAGACTGGCCAGATGAAGAGCCAACAGAAGCAGAAAAGGATTTTTGGGAACTTGCATCTCTTGAATGCTACAACCATTTGACAGAATGGAAATATCTGGAATACTGCTCAACTCTGAACATTGATAATGGGCAACCATCAGACCTAAATAAAATATGGAGTGATCCATTCTATCAGGTTTTCAGAAAGAAATATATATATGCATGCTTCTGTATATTTGTGTGTCTAAGGGGTAAGAATTAATTGAGCAATTAACCTTGCCTCTGACAATCACATTTGTTAGTAAATTTAAAAAAATGGAAGAATAATCATATAGTCCACTATATGCTATAGTTTAACCTTTGTCTGGGGGGAGAATTCTCAGTTTTAATACTAATCTTACGTGGGAGAATCTGGTTGTATTCAAACCATTATAATTTTGTAGGCTTTACAAATTAACATACCATGTTAATGTATGCTTTATCACATGAAAAAATAATTCCAATTTTCCTACAATTTAGGAGGCCTATTTACCTTATATAATTCGCAGCAAGTTGAAACTTCTCCTTCGTGGCGGCAATGACCAGTCTTTGTTGACATTTATTGATGAAGCTATGAAAGCAGAAGAGAAGAAAGCTGTTATAGAAATGTATTATAGTCAAGAGTTGAGTCTTCTCTACATTTTACAGGATGATTTTGACAGAGCCAGATACTATGTCAAAAATGCCATGCAAGTGTTCATGCAGGTACTTCAAAATAAATGAACATAATGTCATGCTAATTGTATTAACTAATCAGGAGTATTATGTCATTCAGAGATTCTGTATATGTATCCACCACATCCAGCAGAATTAAAATAGGATAAATGGACTCATAAGAGTTTTATTTCCTGATATTGTCAGGGCAAGATGATTATATGAGGGAAACCCAAGAATATTCACTAATTATCAGATAGAAATTCAAGATGAAATCCTTTTTCTCCCACAGAACTACTCCAATACCGATTCACTATTGTACAGTAGTCGCATGACCAAACTGCAGTCAGTTCAGGCTTTAACTGAAATACAGGACTTTGTCAACTTTATAAGTAAACCAAGTAAGTTTTTCCCCCTCTCATTAAATGTAGTAAATATATTGTTTTAATAAAATAACAGCTAAAATAGTCTTGAATATCATCAGTGGATAGCATGGGTTTTGTGGGTTTTCAGGTTTTTTTGATATTACAGATTTTGTTTTTGAATCTGTTGGTTCAAGTATAGAAAGGAATATGAGAAGTTTGCAACCATTTCTGCTATGTTACATTGCATGAAGACAGATTTTTAACATTGAAGGAGTATTAAAAAGAGTTTCTGATGACCAACGAAGCTGATGTAGAAGATTTGGTTCATACAGTAGGTTCCATTTGGCTTCAGCTTAATGTGCCATAGTGGTTTGTAAATTATTGTTTATAGATTAGCCTGCGTGAACACAGTCATATACTAACACAGCTTAAAATCTGTTACTGACCATGATGGTTTATTTAGTTTAAAATGTGATTCTTTACTTGCTGACAATTTTAAACATTTTGTGTTTTTCCAATAATTGCTTTTTAGGTAATTCAACTTCTCAGGCTTCTCTTAAGAGATTTCTCAATACTTGGACAAGCAGATACCCTGATACCAAAATGGATCCTATGAATGTTTGGGATGATATAATTACAAATCGGTAAAAATAATCTGATTAAGATATTGGTATTTACCTGTATTTATTACACACCCAAGAATGTCCCCAGTGAAATCTTCCTTTTAAGAGCACTCTTTTGATCACTAAAGGTCTAACAGTTTGGGAGAAAAATGGGGCCACTTAGTAACAACTTGAGGACTTTTGCAGACTTGTGGGACTTCCTAAATAAATAAAAATATCTACACTTGTAAGTTTTAAAATATCTTTTATTATGAGTTTCCAAAATGTATTTAGTGTTGATTGAAGCAAGCCTATGGATTGGTTCCTGTCCTCAACTGCTCAGTTTTACCACTGGAACTGGCTGAGGAGGGTCATCAGAGCTCTAATAGAATCATTAGTATGTCATTGTTTATGGCCAGCTCTTATTTTATATGAAGCAAAAGAAAAATACCTTTTAAAAATACTTGGATTGATTCTCAATTTTTTTCTTATTTTTTTGTGCAGGTGCTTTTTCCTTGACAAAATTTGGGAGAGATTTTCTAGTACCAACCTAGATGATAGCATGGAATTAGATACAACTTTCAATATGGAAGTGGACAATGAGAACGAAGATATGCATTCAGTGATTAAAAACTGCAAGTTTGCTATGAAAATGAAGATGATAGAGTGTGCTAGGAAACAGGTATCTATGACCTTTATTTTATAAAAACAAAATTAGATAAAATATAGCAGAATAATATAGCCTTTCATCAAAGGCTATATTATTCTGCTATAGAGAAGATCTGGTCTTCTCTATAACAGAATAGAGAGAGATCTGGTTATATTAAACGCATTCTCTATAGCAAAATAGTGAGAGATCTGGTCATATTAATTCTCTTAAAACATTGTTTAGAAAGCTAGGGCTGTATGTCACTACCATTATGCCAAGATTCATTTTAATCACAGTTTAAGACAGAATCACATTTACCAACAAGCAAAATAATTGGCTTATTTGACCAATTTCCACTTTATTTTCCATTACTCTCTTTTGCCAGCGTCCAGAATGTACCCTAAATGGTCTAATGACAGTGACAGACTATTTTGTGTGTGTAGAAATGTATTTTCTGTTTACTGTGAGATTTCTCTGTGTTGGGAGGTTTAATGTTAATGGAGACATTCAGAGGTTCATCTTGTGTGTGAGTTTGGTTTATGTGCATGTGGCTTTCCTATATGTTAGTGTTTTTTGTTTCACTGAACCGTTTCTTGCTTTTTGAGGAGGAATATGTTTTGTAGGGAACACCTTTTACCCATACATGAGATTTTGATGAGGTTATAGAAGGTTAGGTTTTTTTGGGTGGGGGGGAGACAGGAAGCAATGTTTTAAGCATTGTTATTTACTCTGCTGTGCAGTGTGTATTTTGCAGTGACTTGCTGGTAGATGCATGATCTGGTGTTTGGAAGTTTAGATCCCTATTTGCCCCTTTCTCAGACAGATCTTTGCTATGTATACTGTATCTGAGTTACTATCACCTAGAGCTATGATTTGTCCAGGGATACTGCCTTGTATCTTGAATATTATAGAAACAACTTTTGAAATGATAGGGAAAACATTCAAAAGAGATTACAGCTAATAGTGTCTCCTGAACCATAATACTGTCAAACATGGATATTTGCAAAAAAGTTAATATGAATAAAGAATCCCAAAAGCTAATTTCTCAATTATCCTGATTACAGGAGAACTCCCAACACTCACATTTAAATTGTGATTTAAACTGTGATGATGTACAATACAACACACCAATTATATATTTATAATATAAAATAAATATTATTATATAATATATACTTGAAGTACAGAAGTGTACTAACTTTATTATTTACTTACTTACTTATTTATTTATCAAATGTATATGGCTGCTCATCTATCTAGCAAAACTCTGAGTGGCTCACAGAATAAAAACATAATCCATAAAGCCCCCCAAAAAGAAATTAAAAAACTAAGCTGAGGCCTTCCATGAAAATCTCAGATCATACACTGTATTCATACACCTAGGCCAGAGCCCCCCATAACCTGGCCCTAGTGCCTGGGGGAACTTTGGGACACATCATTGAGGTTTGAAAAATATGTATCTAGATTTCAGTGTTTTTTATTTAATAATTAATTGCTAGCCGCCAAAGCGTCCAAGGAATGTTCTTTCTCATTTTCTTGAAATTCAACTTGGAGCAATATTTTTAAGAAGTTCCAGCCCTAGTTCTTGTTGATGCACTATAAGATAAAAAAGGTAAATAAATTTAAAGCCAATATTGTTATACTTTATTTGTTGGAGAGTGCTAAGTAAAGATTCTGATAAACCTATTGATCTTGCTTCAAGTGAAAATGATTGTACCATTCTGGATATGGCAAAAGAAAGGACATAAGTGGAAGTGATGAGCCAAAGTCCCTGAGGAAGCAAATCAAACATAGAGTGTTGTTAATACAGGTAGTCCTTTTTTAGTGACCACAATTGGGACTGGCAACTCGGTCATTAAGCGAAGAAGTCACTACATGAAACCACAACTGTTCTTATGATCTTACTTCAGTTTTACTTTACTTTACAGACCTGCAAATGTCGTAAATGTGAGGATTGGCCGTAAAGTTACTTTTTTATCACTGTTGTAACTGTGAGTGGTTGCTAAACGAGGCAGTTGCTAAATGAGGACTACCTGTATGCATTTTACCATTTTTGGGTGGCACTTTTATATGTATTTTCCAATTTGTTGTATTAATGCATAACGCTGTGTTAGTATTTATGGAACAAGCCAAAATGGAGGGGTTGCACATCACACTAAATCAAAAACATTATTTTTGAAAGCTTAATAAGGTGAAGAATTAAGTCCACAGAAAAAAGCAGACTGTAAAATAACCTCAAATTCTTCAAACATTGTATCTTCCTCCTAGCGGGGGAAAAAGTTTACAGCGTTGTGAATTTTCAACAAGCAATTAGACCTAAATCTGGGCTTGTAAAATTATTTAATTAATGGAGGAAGTTTTTTTTAATTAAATATTTAAATAAAGCACACAGTCAGTCAAAAAGCCCTGTATTAGCACTGTGGCATTCCTATAATGCTTATTATTACTATTAATTTTCATATGTTGAACTTGAGATCCGCCCTTCCTCCACATTCTTATGGTAATCTCTTGATTTTTTTTCCCCCCTTGTTGGACTGGCAAAATAGAACAGTTTCTCAGTAGCCTTAAAGCTTCTGAAGGATTTGCATGGAGATTCTAAGACCTGTGAAGATTGGCAAGTGAGATGGAACCACAGCTATTGCTGTTTTAGCCACAGTCGCAGCCGGAGTCAAAATAGTCCTGAACAAATTCTTACAGTACTCAAAACTGTCTCTCTACTGGGTAAGTGTTTTCTGTAGATTTTCCATCAATATATAAGGACATCATGATGTCGACCTTAAGAAAGGGTCCTTGGTTGTGTTTTTAGGTATTTAGTATTATACCAGAATATCAATTTTATAATATTTTGTTAACAGATGAGACTAAACCGAGCATGAACAATAATGCCGTTACTTTCCGTAACCAAAACCTCCTCTTGGGTACCACTTTTCATATAATGGCCAGTGCCCTTTCCAAGGATCCAAGATGCCTTGACCAAATTGAAGAAGAAAAAGCTAGAAAAGTCTTGATGCTTTCAGAAGAAAGACCTGATAATATTGAAAAGGTAAGATTTCATCTCTTAAAATGTGAATACTAATTAGAAAAATGAAGGTAGAATTTGAGGATTTTTTTTTAATTTTTAATTTTGTTTTTGATGTGGTCCAAAATGTGTGATGTAAAAGCAAAATGCTGCAGAAAATTCAGTGGATATTACTGTTCTTATGGACTGTTCGCAGCAGAACCAGGCTCTCTTAATAAAGAAGCAAGGACACTAGTCAATTTGCCTGTTTTTAGCTCCTTTTGTTCTCCTTTTCCATTTATTCATTTATTTAGTAGATTTATATGGTTGCCCATTTCAAATACAGGTCTCTGGGCAGCCAACAATATAAAAAATGATGAAAACATACACAAAAAAACGTGAGACACACAGCAACCCAGAAAAATTACAAAAGCAACAGTCAGTCATTCAGCACAACCGAGAAGTGGGCTCTGTCATACACTTGGGGCCCCACGCTCAACTACAGAGCCAAGTCTTCAAAGTCTTATGGAAGGCCAACAGGGAGGAGACCAATCTAATCTCTGAAGAGATGAAGTTCCAGAGGGCAGGTGCCACAACAGAAAAGGCTGATCTCCAGATCCCTGCCAGACTGCATGTCAGACTGAATGGGACGGATAGAAACAACCTTTTCCATTGCATTCTGGTTAAGGATAAGAGAGGAGAAGGATGTTGACATACGTTGGGACAGAAGCATGGATGTGAGAATTATTTTGAATCTGAAGTAGTTAAATAGATTCCTGAAGTACAAGCATTTCATAAACATGATAGTGGCCATAACAAAAGGATTAATTTGAGCTCCATTAAATTCTTGCAGATGTATTTGTACATTCTGATCAGAGATAACATTCCATTTAGATTCTTCAGGTAGTATTTTTCTCTTACGTGACCACAAGCACTTCTAATGCAAATTATTACCCGCTCTCCCACCCCCTGCCAGGAGCTTATGATCATTCCTTTCTTTCTCCTTTTCCATTTCTAAAGAAAGGTCAAAATAAGGGCAGACAAAAGGTCCGTCTACTCAGACTTTCTGTTTCCAAGAGAAACCACATACTCTTAAGAAGCTCACAAATATGACATGATGATTGTCACATCCTATAGCAATGAAAGCTGTATGTTAATGTGTGCATAAAGCACTTTTTTTCTTTGATGCATATTTTATATTCAGCCAGTTGGCTGTTATTAAATAAACCCAGATTGTAGTGCTTTGAAGTTAAGAAATGGAAAAGGTATGGCACGAAGAAGGAGAAGGAGAAGGAGGAGAAGAAGTGTTGTTGTTGTTGTTATTATTATTATTATTATTAAATACTCATGAGTAGGGTCAATAAGTCTTTATTTCATCAAACCTTTCCTAATTCTTGCTTCCATTGTTTCCTCTTTTTTCATCTATGAATCTTGCATCTTTTCTTCCCACCTGTGTCCCTAAGTTTTGTCTCTTAGTGTTGAATCAAAAATATTTCATAACCCATTTAAGCAATCACATATAAACTTCATTATTTTATATTCTGTTTTTTGTTGCTCCTTATTGTGGTTTGGGATCACAATCACAAAGTTTCTCATATGTTGATTTCAGGTGATAGCAGGGCTGAACAAGAGAGCTTTTCTGTGCTTCAGTGGGGCTGTGAAAAAAGCAGAAGAAGAGGTACAGTCCATGTCATTTGACCACATAGATATAAATGGAATCATCGATGCTTATATGACATTGGCTAATTTCTGTGACAGTCATCTCCGCAAAGAAGAACAAAGTTCAGCAGGTGAGTGAAAAGATGAGTTGTTCATTTTTTCAGTTCTGCAACAAGGAATGAAATAAATGCCATAGAAAATAAGTTCAAACTTATACATATCATAGATTTTGACATAGATAAGTCACCCTCAGTTGATTTCAATTTTGTGTAGTGCTAGTGTTTGCAAGATAAGGCTAGTCTTATGTTCTAGTCTTTACCTTTATCTTGTCCTGATAAATAACAGCTCTTACCATGCTAATGATACATTCTGCTATTTTTTTCCCCACATGGTCTAAAATCAACTCAGTTTTGCTGCACTATAAAATGTTATTTGAAATGTTAAAAAATGACATACAATCAAGAAAATATAAAAATCACTTCACATATAACATACTTGTATTTGTTAATTTTGAATGCCTCAATAATGCCATAAAAACATACAGTAGATGGGGAAAATGTTCAGAACATGGCAGCCAAAATGCTAGGGAGGTTGAAGTGCTTCCCCTATTGGAAAGGGTACAATATTTGGGACATGATACCTCAAAGAAAAAACAAATAAAAGGAGATGAAATAGAAGTATTATAAAATCATGCAGAGAAATGGAAAATATTGATCATATTAAAACAAAGTATCATCTATCTATTGAAACTAAAGGCTAATCAATTCAAATAAATAATGCAAGCAGATTTCTGGACCAATAAAAAGAGGACTTATTTAACAGTGTATGGTCAAATGCTGGAACTTACAGCTACTGTATGTGATAGCAACCACTTTAGATTATTTTGCAAATTCATAAAGGAATGAGCTATTGCTATCAGTTTTAATAGCTATTCATTACCTCCTGAATCACAGATACATGCCCTGGATTCAGGTTTCTGGTAAGTGACGGTGGAAGAGACTTGTCACTTTTCTGCCCTGCTTGTTGACCACTATATGATACAAAACGCTAGAGTAGGTGGCCTTTCGCCTGAACCAACAGATCTCTTCTTGCAAGTCTCAATATATGTTGCTTTCTTGTGAAGAGTGTGGTGATAGGTGAAATATCAAGTCTGTAGAAGAAGTGACAAAGTGCTTTAGAAAAAAGAATGTATTATTTTATGTAGCCATAAAAAGGACTTTAAATAAACCAGTTTTTATCAACATTAAAAACTTAATATTCTATTGACGGTCTTATGTTTTATCAGATGTAAACACTGAGGATTTGCAGAAATTTCCAGCAATCATAGTGGAAAAAGTAATAAAAGCTTTGAAACTAAATTCAAATGAAGCTAGATTAAAATTCCCCAGACTATTGCAAATTGTAGAGAAGTATCCAGAAAGAATTTTGGAATTCATGGCAGAAGAGGTGAGTCTTTCCATCTCTAAAGGAAAATATATTATCTACTTTTGTAAGCCACCCGCAATCATTTGTGTGGGCTGCATATTCATTTATAAATTTTGAAAAATTAAGACCACTGATTGTTTGCTTAAATAAAAAGAGAATGCATTCTCACAGACATCTGTACTTAACATGTCACTGGAATCGTGCCTTTCTTGTGAATATTATTTGTTGCAGCACACTTAGCAGACCTACAACATAATCTTACAGATCACTTTAACTGCCTCAGAGAGCATCCCACAAATCGATGCTTCACCAGTAGGTGGTTCTGCGTATTTGTTCCATGTGGAGAACTGTATCAGTTAGTTCCAAAGACAATTGTATAGTGCTCTCCTGTTGCACAGGAGCTAGCCACAATCCCTGAACACAAAGGGAAGTATTTCTTCACCATTGGGACGAATCTGTACTAATGCCTTCTCATCTTCTCTCTAATTATCAGATTCTTCAAAGGATCTGTTGTATCTTTTCCCTGTATATATTGATTATTCCATGTTGTCAAGACAGCTATGATTTCCAGTACTGTTCTCCCAGTCCAAGAGATTTAGTTTCAACTCTCCCTCATGACAGACCTCCTTTTTGGGATTAAGGCCAAAACCATCAACCTTTTCTGAAATCCTTTGGACACTTGGATTGATTCCTGAGTGCCAGGCTTTTTTTTTTTTTTTGGAGATGTAAAAAGTACCATTAAGATTTCATGTTTCCCACTGATATGTATTACTAGTCAGTAGCCCTCTTTACATTTTACAAATTGATCTGACTACCTACCAGCTGCAGGGGATCTTCAGGTTCTTTTTGTCTCTCAAGTTACAAGACCTTTTCCTGTCTGCATTGAAAGTTTTTTGTGCAGCTGTTGCATTTTCCCATTTTATGATCAAAAGATGTCTCAAAGGGCTCCTCATCTGTCCATCTGTTATACCTCCTGCTCTTTTTTGGAATCTTGTTCTAGTTTTTGTCAAAATTGTTCCAACCCTCATTTTAACAGTTCTTTGTTCTCAAAATGGAAAGTGGCTTTTCTGGTAGTATAATCAATTTTGCTAGAAAACTGCAAAACTTTGCAGTCCACAAATCTTATTTACAGCTTCAGAAGTATCACTTGATCCAGATGCATTCTACCTAGTTGTGGCCATTTGAATTAATCAACCAATTTTATTATGTGCCTTTGCCACCCCAGGATTGGTTACTGGACATGGATTGGAGAGGACATCTGCATTGACCCCAGAAATTATTTGTCTGTTACTTGAGATAAAGGGGGGGGGGGGGGACTGTCAGTATTGTATTCACCCAGTGGTGAAAGATGCCATTAAAGCTATCCTATAAATTGACACATCAGCCTGCTCCGATAAGTATTAAGGGGCATCGTACAATCTTCTTCTGTTGAGGTCTTCTCACTGATGGGTCTTTGCAAGAAGCCTACCCTGTCACTGTGCTTTACCATCATTGAACATTATTAAAGAGATCATTGTGTAAAGTCAGATGTTTCTTTGGGCTGTGCTGTGCTTTTCCAATCTCATATAGACTGGGCACCTTTTGTTCCATGAGTGACTTTGCTAATTACTCTTGGATGAGTTTCAGAGATCATGACAGAAAAGAATAAGCTGTGTACCTGCAGTTGTGGTTCTTTGTGTAGTTGTCTCTACATTCATACAACATGCCTGTCTCCCATTCTTCAGGTGCCTGTGCTTTTAGGTCTGTGAATGCCAGGGCTGCTTTAGCTTGGTCAAGGAACTGCAGGGAAGGCAGGGACTGTTTTGCACATGGATTGTTCCTGTCAAAAATCCTCAGCCTTGGGCAGGCTGTGGAGAGGTATATAACCCTAGGTGTGAATGCACAGCTAGGCAATCTTTTTTTCAAAGAGGAGATGGATAGGAAGAAGTTTTTCTTGATCTCCAGAAGTACTGAAAGTTGAAAGAAGCTGGTAAAATGATAAGCAGACAATTTAGTCCGCAAAATGTTGTAAGCTCAGCATGTGGGGTTCTGCAGAATTTGCTGCCAACAGACAAATGGATGAAGGCTATGTCCATCAGTGGCTACTAGTTATGATGACTATATACTGCCTCTAGGTTCACAGCCTAACATCAGCAGGAGTAAAATGCTGCCTTCAGGTCCTGCCAGTAGGACTTCCAGAAAGATTTGATTGGACATGGTGGGAAGCAGGAGCTGGTATACAGTGAGATAAACTATTGCTTCGGATGTTTACTTGGAATTGATTTTTACTGTCCTTTTTCCTAGGTCAAGCCTATATTTACATTTAAATATAATGTTTAGAACAGCCACCCAAAGAAGCAATACGTGCAAATGTTTTTTATCTATTGCCAGCACCTAAAGCATTGAATCCAAGGTTTGTTTGTTTGCTCCCATAGCTGAAGGAGTATTGTTACAAATACTGGGCAAAACTAGTTGATTTTTGTTTGTCTCAAGTTCATTGGCTCTTGGGAACCTATTACCATGTCCTTGGCTGAATTTGGTAAACTTTTGATATATTCCACATGCATTTCCATATTGCAGTAGGTAAAAGATTTAGTTTTTATTTGGTTCAGGGGAGTCAAGGTAGAAGCATGTTTTATTGCTGTAACCTACATTCACAGTTACTGTTTTCATAGATTTCTTCAGTTCCCTGTTGGCAGTTTATTGGTTGGATCAGCCAGTTGATGGCAATGCTGGATAAGACGGAAGCACCTGCCGTTCAGCGTATAGTAGAAGAAATTGCTAACAGTTACCCACAAGCAATAGTGTATCCCTTCATGATCAGCAGTGAAAGTTTTTTTTTCCCGGAAACTGTCGTAGGTCATAAAAATAAGGAGTTTGTAGCAAGGTAATATTAAAAATGAAAAACATGTTTTAGAAGCAAAGCAAATTATCCTTATTGTTAGGCAAAAATGTAGTCTGCACATAATTTTATAAGCTACATTTAAGTGAAAGGTTTTTTAATTTGTTAAAGGAGATAGTCAAGATAGATTAATTCTTCCTACTAAGGAATTACATAATTGATGAAACAAGTTTCCACAAGTTGTATGTACATTCAACTGATTGTGCTTGCTGCCCCTAATATGTCTATGTTATCAAGTGGCTTGGACACTATGATTGGTTAGTTGTTTTTTTATTATATCTGATTGGAGAGAAACAGAAATACATTTATTTTAACTTAACCTAAAGGGTAAAAAGTCTTAATTTAGATAGCAGTTGATACATTAAGTCAGGACCTGCCATTGACCTTAGCTGTAGTCTCTCTTCTCTTTAGATGATTGTCAGCTGAAATAGTTTACTTAACAGTTGAAAAACTGTGCTATGTTAAGGCTTTAAAAAATTAAGGGGAATATTTCTGTGACCTTTTCCCTTCTTGTTGCACTGCTTCCTTCCTTTGTAGAATAAAGAGCAAGTTGTATGAAGGAGGGGTGGTACAAGATTTTGTCCATTCCTTGGACCAGCTTTCCAATCCAGCAATGCTGTTCAAGGTACAACAGCCAAATTCTTCATAAACTGAAATTATCTATATATTTACCATTTATTTATGTAGTGACTTGAATATGTTGTTTAACATTTAAGCTGTTTTTGCTCTTCGCCCAGGCCTTTGGTGACTGAGTGACTTTAGATTAGGTGGGTTGTTTTCCTTTGTTCCCATCCAGTTTTGTCATCCTGCCATCTTTACCCTTTTTGTCTCTTTTTCTTAGTTTTAATGTTGTAACCATTTATAAGCCACCCACAGTCACTGGGAGTCAGGCAGCATATACATTTAATGAATTATTATCGTTATCTTCAGCAGCATTAATTTCCAGTTGTGATCTGATTTCCATTACATTTTAATGTTTGCCCTCAGTTCATTTCCTAGAAGAGAAAATAATTTTTATTCTGCATTTACAGGATTGGATGGATGATGTCACAAATGAGCTGAGGAAAACTAAGAAAAATGCAAATAATATTCAGCAATTGTATGATAGAATGTACCAAAAACTTGGAAAGCTAGAGGCTCCAGGTCTTGGGTGGTTCAGAAAGCAATTTATTAAAGTACGTATCATGCTTTGCCATTGAATATACCACTGAGTTTATAAATTAACTACTGAATTAAATATTTTTTTAATAAACCTTATATGCATATTGTGGTTACATTTCCCAGCAATATTAACATTCTTCAGTGCAGCTGTGCACAAATCTTGGGCTTTATGCACAATTTAAAAACAATTTTTAAAAACTCAGTCACAACAAAAATTATTCAGAGTCCCAAATCTAGTCCACTATTACTATTATGACTCAGGCTACAGATTGAAAAGTTGAAAAGCAGGATGAAAGTTTTGAAACATTCCTCCAGAGGGAGCATTCATTCTGATTTTTCAGAATGAAAGAAGACTAGAGGAGGCTCCAAATGCAGGATCTGGACATAACTACAGAAGAGACTTTAGATCCATTTCAAGAAACTCTTTTTCAGAGACTCTACCTTTCAAGGCTCAGCTTCTTCTCATTCTTTGTCCTTCCTCCTGAGAATGTGCACTGCTCCTGCAAAGGGATGAAGTCAAATAAGGACTTCATGTTAAAGAGAAGGTGGTCAGTAGAAGATACCAACAAGTAAATGAATGGAATAGTCAAGGAAGCATCAATGCTACTGTGGAATTTCCAACTCAGACTGACTAAACTGCATTACATATGGGAATTAGAGCTTAGACCTATAGACACCAAGCTGATCTACCAGTTCAAAAACCTACCTTCGACTTGTTTGCCACATAAGATAAATCAAGATTCTAGTGTTATGTCCAGATTCCCAAATCGGATGGATGAGAACAAACACAATGGGTTCAGCCTGGTGGGAGCAATTGCTGCATGGTTTTTCTGTGATACTATAGGTAATCGAAAAGATCTGACAGGTAGAAATGGTTCTTATAATTTCATGTTGGCCATACAGAGAAGCTTTTCAGATGAGCCTCCATAAAGGCTTTATGGAGATCTTTATGAGATCTTCTCATGTAAAGACCTTTTCTTCCCTGACACTTGGAGCTCTTTTACCGAGCAGCAAGTATCTCATTCAGGTTTTCAAAAAGAATCATAAATATATATCAGTACCTTCCAGTTATGAGTTCCGTGTATTGGTATGAATAAGGAGCATCAAAAAGGTCCTGGAATACCTTGTGACTGGCTAGGACAAAAGCTTGACTAACTAACATTGGCTGATCCCAAAAAAGATAATTAGGGTTGGTCCTGGGAGTAAATAGCTGGGAGACCACCAGGAGATCCAAGGACTATATAGGCCAGACTGGGAATTTAAAAAAAAAAACTTCCTGGAAGAAGGCAGTGACAAACCACTTACATTTTGCTACCAAGAAAATTACTATGCTGGACCATGAAGTTTCTGCATGGAATTTCAGTTGGACTTCAATAAGCATAATGGAAACAGTTTTTGAGATCATGTTCTGGTTCTCCCATAAGTTACGAATCTTAAGCATGCTCTCTCTTTGGAGGAGGGGTCATAATTCTACCCTAAGTTTTTTCCAAATAGGCCTTTTTCACAAATTCTCAAATACATGGCTATTATTAATGTAAGGTTCTCCTCCAGACAAATTTCTTCTTGGGGAAGGTGGTCCCCCTTTTCAAAGAACACAAAACATTGTCTTGTATTTGTTCTCATGGCTAATCAACCTAGAAGTTGTTATTATTTCAGACTCCTTATTCTTTCATTAGAAGAGAAATTGCTGACCAGAGTAGTACAAATGAAAATTTCTAAGAAGATTTTCTCCATAATCTGTGTTCTAAGGAACAATCATTAGAAGACATCACTACAGACTCCTAGTTCAGCAGCTGCTTTTTAGCAATTCTGCACAACAATTATCTTATTGAAGAGATCTGTAAAGCAGTCATTTTGCTATTCATACATATAATTGAGCCATTCAAAAATTAATATGTATTCTATGGATGCAGCTTTTGGCAGAATTTTGGGAACCTCCTAATTAACTGATTGCTGGTCAGCTAGAAACCAGCCATGATTGGTTCTGCTTTGGTAGATCTGAGGTAAATGACTGAACTTAGAAAGGCTATGAATTCCTCATTCGTAGGCTCTCCTAGAAGACAGTGAATTTGCCTGGGTCAGAGCTCAGGATTCTTATATGTGAATTATTCCTACTAAGCTTTTGATTTCATTTTACTCATGGTGGAAGTAGTCTGGACACCTGGAATTTAGTTTCTAAATCCCTAGGGGATTTTTTCTTCTTTTTTCTTTTTTCTTTTTTCTTTTTAAGTATGTTTCCTTTTGGCATAGTTATGCTTTATTACAGCAGTGAGAAGAACAGCTCCTGGAGCTTTGATGGTGGTTTAAGAGATCAATGTGGCAGCTTCTCTAGGAGAACATATTTAAGCATGGATCCTGTTTATCAGCTCCAGTAGAAAGTGCCATCCCAAGGGAAATAACAACCTACCAGTAATTTTTGGAAGCAGGAGTTCATAAGAAGCTCCCACCCCATTGTACCAATCTTTAAAGTCCACTCACAATCCATAGCTCTTGAGACACATGGAATCCTGCCCTGACCACCACTTGTACTTTTTGATGATCACTTAGGTTTTGGCATATAGACAGTTAAACAAGTTCTGGCAGTTTGTAAAGGTTCTACTCCTTAGTTAAGGATGCCACTGTATCCCTTTTTTTCATATCAGTCTAAATATTTTGCTTATATTAAAGCTAGTACTTCTCTTGTAAATGGATTTTATTTCAGGAATTTGGAAAGGAATTTGATGATCATTTTGGAAAAGGAGGTTCCAAACTGCTAGATATGAACACCAACACCTTCAGTAGAGTTGCACTTTCTCTCTTTGCAAAGATGAAGAAATGTGAGAAAGAACCTGGGAATCTAAAGGAGTGCTCCCCTTGGATGAGTGAATTCAAACCAGATTTCTTGAGGACTGAACTGGAAATCCCTGGTAAGGTGTACATTGAAGTCTAAAAAGAAGAAAAAACTGTAAATTAAAGAATGTCCCTAATGAAAACATTATTAATTGAAATCATATCCTATAATTATATAATCACTGTGGGTTGGACTCTACTATTTGAAAGATATTTCCTATCTCTGATTCTTACCACTTTGGAGAACTCTATAATCTTCAAATTTACTGAAGTTTCAAATGCTTTTAAGTGAAAAAATGCATCTTGGTTGAAATGTGATTTAAAAACAATGATGAACATGTTTTTCTCACTGAGGGACTGTTTTTAATGTACCGGGTGACAGGAACTGAAACAATGACATGTTTGCTTTCTGTCTGTTGCTATTCAGAACTGGGGTGCTGAAATGGTGCCTGCTAACCCTTCATAGTGCTTACCAACATGCCCGCCCTACTGGACTTTAAGTGGGAATGTTGCAAAACAACATGCTAGTCACCAGCATCACTTTTATCTCCAGAGCATTTACCATTTTGTTTGAAACTGTGTCCACTTGCCTGAAAAAAAAAATGAGCAAAACAAATCTGAGAATTGGGAGTATTTGAAGGCTAGAGGAAATAAAAGAGATGAGGGTATATTTTCTTCTGCTTTGTAGTCTTGCCTGTTAGTTTTTCGGGGGAGAGTTTAGTATGTGTTAGCTGACATATTTTGGTGTTTTATGTGTGGTTTTCCTCAAGGTTTCTGTGGTTGTGAAATCTCTTGGCACTGCCACTTTGAGTTCACATAAGCGATTTAGCATTTAGGGCTTAGATTCCCAAGCCAGTATTTTTTTGAAACCTGCAGACTTGGCTTTCTGGTAAATGAGTGTCCCATCACCAGCCACAACCATCATGGGAGCCATTTTGTCAAATTTCTCAATTTGTCTATCGACCCAAAACTATTGTGACATATTAGAGCTCCTTTCAGACTGGAACAATGCTTTACAGAGCAGTTTGTTCCTAAACACGTTTGCTGACATCTTGAAGTCAGAATTACAGGTGAAACTTGAAAAATTAGAATATCGTGCAAATGTTCATTTATGTCAGTATGGCAACTCAAAAGGTGAA